CAGGAGACTCGCTTGAGCCCAGGAGTTGGAGGTTGCTGTGAGCTGTGATGCCACAGCACTCTACCCAGGGGGACAGCTTGAGGCTCTGTCTAAAAAAAAAGAACATCTGGCAAACCAAATCCAGCGTCCTGGGAAGGGGATGATCAGAGAAATATGTGTCCTACTCCCATGGACCCCCTGCCTGGGCTTATAAGGCAGAGGAGAACTGGGCAACCTCACTGATCCTCAAATTGCCCCAGCCCTAAGGAACTGGCCTTGTAGCTTGCCTTTAGCTTGTACTTACTGACATATCAAGAAGTTAACACCCCACATGGTGCCAGGACAGAGACACTGAGTCTTTCCCAAAGGCCTGGACCTGCCCCTCCACTTCAGGCCCCAGACAACTATGTGCAACAACCCCTATCATGTCAAATGCACCCCAACACACAAAGTCATACTATGTGACATTATATTACTCCAGGACAATTTATGACATAGTCTGCCACAACTCTCTGGCACATCCAGACATATCTGGGTGCAGGGTCTAGAGAAAGGTCTCCCCTAGTCGAGGAGGTGGGCGGGGAGAACTGGGCTTCCCCAGGGCCCTTGCAGTGGCTTCTAGCACTGCCAGTTCCTTAGCCTGCCAGGTCTCCATGAGTGCCATCTGCTGCTCCAACTTCCGACGTTGCTCTTCCTGCTTTCGGTGGGCTCCTCGGAAGGCCAGGACCAGGGCACTGGAGGTGAGGGAATGGCTAAGCCAGGAAAGAGCCCCTACTCTGCTTAAGGCAGGGACTATGTACTCCCTTTCCCATGCTGGGAGCTCGTTGAGTCTTCCTGGGGTCCCAGTATCAATCACTAGGGGTCGGGCATACATCAGGCATCAGGAAAAGTGGGGGGTGGATTGAATTTGTTTTTTTTGTTTTTGTTTTTGTTTTTGAGACAGAGACTCAAGCTGTCCCCCTGGGTAGAGTGCTATGGCATAACAACTCACAGCAACCTCCAACTCCTGGGCTCAAGCGAGTCTCCTGCCTTAGCCTCCTAAGTAGCTGGAACCACAGGCGCTCGCCACAATGCCTGGCTATTATTTTTGTTGTTGCAGCCATTGTTATTTGGCAGGCCTGGGCTGGATTCGAACCTGCCACCTTAGGTGTATGTGGCTGGCGCCTTAGCCACTTGAGCCACAGGTGCTGAGCCGATGGATTAAATTTGTTGACCATCTTACAGGAGAAAGATGAGGCCCAGAGAGACCCAGGAAAGCATCTGAGATCACAATGGGGCGGGTATAGGACAGAGGGTCCCACCTGTGGGCTTTGCATAAATCGCTATTCAGCTCAGCATTCTGAGCCTGTCTGGCTTGACCCTTCTGAACCATCTGTTCCAGCTTTTCTCGTAGAGACTGCAGCTGCTCTCGCAGGCCCAGGGACCTGATACAAGGGTGGGAAAAGAGAGGTTTACAGCCATAGTCAATCCTATCTTCTACCCACCTGCCCGTGGTATTTTCATGTGAACACACCTGTACACAGGTGTACACTTTGGTGTCTGCCACACATGGCACCCCCATGGGCTCTCGCATATACCCCCTCCCCACAGCCCAGGACCCAGGCACATACCTAGTAAGTGACGCTGCTAGTTCCTGCACTAACTTCTCTGGATCCCATATTTTGCCTACCTGGCCTCCATCAATGCCACTGCTGCCACCAAGGACAGCAGGAGGGCCCTAAAGGCAGCAGAAAAGAAAGAAGTGACATTAGTCTAAGCCTCAGTCCATGCCGGGCATTGAAGCTGCCCTCCCAGGACCCTCAGTGTGGTGAGATACCCAAATAACAGTAGAACTGCTCCCTGACAACAGAAATAAATAACAGGGGATCTCATCTGAAGGCAGTCCAGGAGGGCTTCCTTGAGGAGGTGATGTCTAAGCTAAGACCTGTAGGAGGCTGAGGACCTTATTGCACACAGAGAGAGGTGACCAGTGTTTTTGGCAGGGAGTAACATGTACAAAGGCAGAGAGGGAGAGATGGAGGTGGGAGAGATGAAGCCTGAAATTTTGAGCATTCTAGAAGCCACTGAAGGCTTTAAGCAGGGGACAGAAATGATCAGACAGGAATGAAAAAAAAAAAAGAAGGGAGGAGGCTGTGCCAAAATCTAGGAGATGAGCCTTATTTGGGGGAGTGAAGGATGGGGAAGGGGGGAGTAGGAGAAGCCTGGGGTGAGAAGGAGGAGGTACAAGTTTCGGTGGAAGGTGCTAAACCCTTTGGGATCAATACCCTCAAAGTGGGTGGCACCTGAGGCTCAGTGAGTAGGGCCTTGGCCCCATATACAGAGGGTGGCGGGTTTGAACCCAGCCCCAGCCAAACTGACAAAAAATAGCTGGGAGTTGTGATGGGTGCCTGTAGTCACAGCTACTCAGGAGGCTGA